CTGGCGCCGGCCTCTGCCGCCCCGGGGCCCGCGGCAGCTCCCGGGGAGGGGGCAGCAGCGCGGGGGGCGAGGCCGTTTCAGCAACACGGAATTTATCCCCCCCTGCCGCGCCGGGGCCACGGACCGGCCTGACCGCGGGGCTCCGGGCAGGGACCTGCGCTGTGATCCCACCGGCTGGGACCTCCCTGGCCCAGGTGCTCCCCACGGGTGGGCACAGCCCGGCCCCTGCCCTGTCCCCCCAGGCCACGGCGCTGTCAGTCACAAGCAACAGCCACATCAGATTCATCGGGTACCAGTTTACTGCAAGCAAAGAGAAACCAGGTGACATGTACCTGGCAAACACACTGATACCCAAGCAATTTGTTGGAAAAACCTTGTTATATGCCAGCTGGATTTCCCAGCCCCTCCCAATCCTGCTCATTACTAAAAAGGTTTGTGTATTAAGCAGAGAACTTTAATCATGTTGCCACCTATCATAATTTTCAGCAAGTTACAAAGCTACCAGATTTATCACAGGCTTTCAGGTCCCTGCAGACACACCTGGTGGAGCACATCCTCCTCACCAGCACACCCACGGGAGCTGTTTCCACACAGGAGAAACAGCTCCAGTCAAAACATCAGCTGGGGGATGCTGATCCCCCCAGCAGAGCCACCCACGTCAGGCTGGGGATGAGCAGGAGTCCCAGCAATCACCTGTGGCCTCCCAGGAACAAGGTTCTCAGAAGTGCTCAATAAATATAACATAAAAAAATAAATAAATGTAAAAAATCAAGGCAGTAGCTCAGGAGCCCCAGCAGGGCAGTGGGAGCAGCTGGGGCTGCAGGCAGGTACAACAAACCAGGCAGCAAGTCCAGGAACAGCAAGAAAAAGCACGTTCCTAAGGAAACATTCTGCAGCCAACTCTTGAGATGGGAACTAACCCAGGAATTAATTACAGGCTGTTTTTATGGCCTTCGTGTTTTTAAAGCTGGCCAGGCCTCCAGAGCAGGAACAGGGGGGCTCAGAATGAAGCTGGCACATGCAGGGTCAGGGCAGCATCCGGGTGCAGGGCTGGGGGCTGCACCCAAGGGAAGACCCCAGCCCCACTGCTCTGCCCCCTCACCCTCCCCCTCCAGCCCAGGCACGCAGGAGGAGGCTCGTGGCTGGGTCTGCTCAGCACCCACAGTTCTTTGGCTCCCAGCAAATCCATTCCCCTCCCCAGTCACCTCTTTTTGGGGGTGGGGGAGAGGCACAGGCTCTGCTCAGACACAGCCACTACCCCCCAGAAAGGAGAGCTCTGTGTGTGCTCTGCAGATCTGCTGCCCTTTTTTGGGGCTAAGCTGCTCCATCACCTTAATGACACAGCTTATAATTATCTCATTCACTATTAATTTGGATGTCAAGAGAAATACCACTCATTTGCTTTTAATTAATATGGCCTTAAAATAAAGCCAGGGGGCTGGCAGGGCTCTGGTGAGAGGTGTCTGCATCAGTACTGGAGAGGATTAGCCAAGACCAACACAGGGAAGAGCAGTTGGGATGGAGAAGTATTTATAGGACAAAAGGAGACAACTGCAAGGGAATGTGATGCTTCCCACTGTCACCAGTGCCCTCTACACACACAGGCACTATCTGCTTGCACCAACAGCCACATCCAAAGCACAGGAGACTTCTGGATGTCCTGATGAGGCTCAGCTGCCCCAGAGAGGACCAACACTAAAACTGCCTGTTTGCAGCCAGAGACTGGGCTCCAAAGGTGGGGAGCAGCCTCTCTGCTCCAAGCAGAGCAGGAGGGATGGAAGCAATGGCACAGGGCACAGCTGTCCTGACCAACTCCACATAAGCCAAATGCCCCGGGAACATGGGAGAGGAAGCACAGTTGCTTGTGGCAGGAGCTCTGCACCTGTGGGTGCACACTGTGCTCTGCCTTGGTGCCACCAGTCTATAGATGGACCCGGTTTAGGGGAAGCATGGTGGAAAGTGCCCCTTCCTAAATGCACCTGGTCAGCACAAGCCAAAAGGGAAGAGGAATGAGAACTGAGGGGGCAGGGTTGGAAATCCAAGCAAAGCCACTTTCTGTATCCTCAGCATGAGTGTCCTGAAATACAAACCCAGAGCTCAGTCCTTGCAACACAAGCTGCACAAGCAGCATCCAGCTTACCACAAGCCTCAGACATGGGGGTGGGAATTAATCTCACTCAGATATCTGTTAGACTCTCTCCATAGCCAGAGAAGACATACAGACTTGCATCCTTAATCATCTTCTCTCCCTTATTGAGAGACCCTATATCAGGAGTGCATGTGCTTATCTTCCCTCCTGATCTCCAGGTGCCCACAAAAAATAACAGAGAAACCAGATCCAGAGAACCTGTAGCAGACAAAAATCATTTAGCCTGTGCCTGGCACAGATCTCCCACCCCCTCAAAGGGCAAACAGAGCTGTAAAGCCAGTGGCCTTAAGAGCTCTCAGGAGGCAGGTGAGAAGCTCCTACCTGGACGGGTGGCACCAACACTGAGTTCAGAAGGGGAAAGGGGTTGTTTCCTTCTGCCAAGCCCAGGTTTGGATAGAGAAGCCTTTGATCTAGCTCTAATTGTGTGCAGGGCTGAGCCTGACCTGCAGAAGCCAAGCATGCAGTGAGGAGGCTCCACATGGGGCAGCTCAGGTTTAATTAAACCAATGCAGGTCGTGGCTGTTGATGAGGCTGCAGAGCAGCAGCCAGAAAGGACTCTCCAACATGTGCATCCCAGCAGGGCGAGCGGCTCCCTCCAGCCTCCCCACCAGTGAAGCCAGGAAACGGTTCCTGCTTTAATTACCAGCTTCCTGGAGGAAAGGGCTGGCTGCGGGGCAGTAGCTGGGAGCCCTGGAGGGACACACAGCCTGTCCTGGCTCGGAAGCCACCAGGCCCCACGAGCAGATGCTGCGCTCGGGAGGCTGCACAGGGCAGGTCTCTGAAGCTTCCCTGCTCACACCTCCCCTCCCAGCAGCACATTCCCACCCAGGGAAGGGATACCACACGCTCCACACCCCCAGCACCACTCCAGCAGGAAACATTTTGCAGAGCTGTCTCTGTGCCTCATCTCTCACAGAGAGGACAGCAGAGAGGAAACCCGAACCCACCCGGCACCTCCCAGCAGCAGGAGGGTGCGGTGCCACAGCCCACCCGCGCCACTGGAACGATAAGGCAGCAGAGGGGGCAGATTAGTTTAATTCAGGGTAATCAGCCTTGATCTATCAACCAGGTGCACAGTAGAGGGGTCAGGACTGTGTTACAGTTCACAATTTCACTGTAGTGAGAAGCTAAAGAGCCACCCCAACAACCTGTTTACAGAGTCCCACCACAGCCACGAGAAAGGATTTAACCACCTTCCTGCATCACTGCATCTTGCCCTTCTCTTTCCTCTTCTTCCCATCCATGCCCTAGATTTTTGCCAGCCCTTAGTTACTTGTATTGAGCACTAGTGAACAATCCTGGCCCAGCCCTTGCTGGTCCCCCAGAGGCACCACCGCACAACCACGGCCCTGCTTCCAGCAGCTCCAGCCCCACACCCTGGTCAGCAGCAACACTGAGGAATTCCTGAGCCAGGAGACCCTTCCAGAGACTCCTGAACAGTCAGAGTCATTCAAGAGAAAAGTATCTTCGGTGATAACAAAAGACAAGGCTTATAACATGGCAGCAATAGGTTGTGTGGAACAGGGGAACTTAGCACCCAATAAAGCTGATTTCCAGTAACCAGCGAGTTAAAAAGGAAGAGATGTGTGAGAGTTTCCCCGGGAAGGACACTCGGGCTCCAGCCCCTGAGTTTCCATTAAGAGGAGGTTTCATGCACTACAAAGCGATTTTCCCTTCGCTAGTTAATAAGCCAATTAGATAAAGACCCAGTTAATCCCGTATTGTGTTCAGAGCGCCACGGGAGCCCCAAACACAGCGATTAGTCCCCGTGTTTATCTGCCGGGCCGGGTTCGGCAGCCGGAAAGCACCGGGGGAGCCCCGAGGACCCGAGCCCTGCCCCCCCAGCACCCCCGGGTCACCGGGCTCGGGGGGTCCCTGCCCTCGGGCCACGGGGGGTTCCCT